AAATGTTAAAAGGACTTTTTTAAGAAAAAGAAAAAGGTCAAAACTATGAACAATAAAATGGCAAAAATACATATCTATCAGCATCTGAATCTAAAATATAAACAAAGTATACAGGAAGAACAGAGACAGAATGATGGATATAGAGGTTGTTTTGATTTTTGCAAGATGGGAGGGGAGTGTAGGGAAATGGATGAAGAGGTGAGAGGATTAAGAAGTACAAATAGTACTTATAGAATAGCCATGAGTATGTAAAGTACAGTATAGGAAATGGAGTAGCCAAAGAACTTAAATGCATGACCCATGGACATGAGCAAGGTGTGGGGATTGCCTGAGGGAGTTGGGGGTACTGGTTGGAGAGGGAGAAAGGGGGAAAAATTAGGACAACTGTAATAGCATAATCAATAAAATATAAATTTAAAACTACAAAAATTTAAAAAAGAACATATGTGCATAGTCCATGGACAGAGACAACAATGTGGTGAAGGCGAGAGGAAGAAGGGGTCTAGATGGAGGGGGGCAAAGGTGGGGAGGAAGGGGGACATCTGTAATCATGTCAACAATGATAAAAAGCCTGAAGATGAAATAAAGACACATTTGGAAAAAAATGTATATAAGGAAATATACTGCCACTCCCAACACAAGGAATGTTAAACAAGTACTTTAGGCTAAAGAAAAATGATACCAGGTGGAAACTCAGATCTCTAGAGGAAAAAAAATGAAAAGTATAGAAAATGGCAAATTATCTCAATGCATATAAAAGAATATTTTTTCTTGATAAAAATATACATATTGTACTAGGGAATTTACAATGTATGTAAGTGTAATAAAATGACAACTATAGGATAAAGGACATTGGAGGATGAGGCAAACGGAGATGTATCAATTGCAATGCTCTTATATTTCTACATAAAGTGGCTAAAATGAGTAGAATAAAAAAAATTAGGGCTATGTATCATAAACTCTTAGAGCATGGGTCAGCAATCTTTTCTTAAACATTCAGATAGCAAATAGTTTAAGCTTTGAGGGTAAGAGGTAAAATTAAGGATATAATATAATTATTTATATAACCATCTGAAAATGTAAAAAGTATTTTTGGCTCACAGCTTTTTAAGAATTCCATTTCAATTTCTTGGTTGGATTTTTAGCCTTCCTCCTTCCCTCTGGGCTTGCCTTATTTCTTTAGTTCACTCTGTTTGTTTGTTTGTTTGTTTGTTTGCTTGCTTGTTTTCTTCTCACATTCTTGCTTAATCTTTTTTTATAAAATAGTAGCCAAAGACAGAAGCCTATGAATATGGAAGAAAACTGAGCAAGATAGAAAGGGCAAACTCAGTAGAAGGAAGAAAGGCTTCTAGTGGAGAAAGACACCAGGAAAATCCAGTGCTGGAGTAAGGAAGGTCTGGAAGGGAGGTTGTGCCAGGCAATGCAAACAGCAGCCTGGAGGTAAGAATATCTTCCATTTCCAGCACCTGAGCAATGTCTCCTCTACCCAACTCCCTGAGCTGCCCACAACTCTGATTCATTTGCCAAGAGTTCCCACTCACCCAGACAGGTGGCTGGTGGGCATTTTCTCTCTTCTTTCCAGGTTTCCTTCCCTTGCTCCAGTTGGGTGATGAGTTTTGGTTTAGAAAATGGAATTCCTGCTCAGAGGAAAAGAAAACAAGGTGGCTGCAAGTTATGGACTCAAGGGCCAAGTCAGAAGGCAAGATGGCTCCTTTAGGCATACCCTAAAATGTCCAGCAGCATGAATGGGAATACTAAGGCTTACCCAGTGAAACCAGGTTGCTGTAGTTTTCCAGCATCACCTCCCTGTACAGGGACCTCTGAGCAGGGCTCAGAAGCATCCACTCCTCCTGGGTGAAATCCACAGCCACATCCCTGAATGCCATGTGTGCCTGTAACACAAAAAAAGCCCTGCTCACCAAGGAGCCAGCCTTGCCCATGACTCACAGTTGAGGGCAGGGAGGCTTCCCTAGTGGAGGTGCGAGAGCTATCTAGATCCTGCCTTTGACTGTAACCCTGGTGCTATGTGTTCCAAGACCTTTCAACCTCTGTTATTATCCAGCCAGCAGCACTTGCGAATTTACATATTTAAGATCCTGGGTGAGCTGTTTGGAGAACATATGCAAAAAGAGTCCCTCTCAGGAATTTTACATCTAGGCAGAGAGAGGAGCAGACAACACATAAAAATTTAACAATAGTAAAGCATTTAAGACTTTCTGAGTTTTAGGAATTTAAAAGATTAATAGTATAACCAAATGAATCAATATTGAAGCATCTGATTGACTAAAATTCATACAATCCAATAATGATAGACTAAACTACAACTCATCCTTCCCCTAAATCCCATGGCCCCGAAGCCTTCTTAGGCCTGAGAGGCCCACGTGCGAAGTGGTGAACAGCAAGGACTTGAATCATATGGCTGAGGTTTGGGGCCCAAGTCTGCCATCAACTAGTGCCTTTTCTCACTTCTGAAATGTGGATAACAACAAATTTACAACCCCATATTGTGGATGTTCAGGATGGACCTCCTTGGCCACTCAATCTACAATTCATTTCTACACCCCATTTCAATCCCTACCCAGTCCTACTCATATACTTAACACTATTTCAGAATGGAGGACACGAGAATATAGATATCAGGAAAAATTTCATGAGAGAGGTCCACGAACTTGGTCTTGAAGGATGAGGCAGAATCACAGACAGACAAGAGAGGTAGAGAAGTGGACACTGAGAGCAAAGGAAGAGAGGAAGCCACAACGTAGACAAGGAGGACTACCTGAAAGGAATAAAATGAACCCAGTGGTAACAGCATAGGGGGAGTATAGCAAGCAGTCTGTAGTGTTTTTATTTTTACCATAAAATATACACAATAAAAATTTTACTGTTTTTATCATTTTAAGTGTACATTTCAGTAGGATTAAATATATTCACATTCTTGTAAAACCATCACCACTATCCATCTCCAGAACTCCATCATCCTACACTGAAACTCTGTAACCATTAAATAATAACTCTCTCCTTTCCTGCAACCCTGCTACTATTTACTTCCCATGTCTAGGTATGTGGCTATTCTGCGTACTGCAAATTAAGTGGAAACATACAATAGTTGTCCTTTTGTGTCTGGCTAATTTCTTCACTTGACATAATGTCTTCAATGTTCATTCATGCAGAATCATGTACTCAGAACTTCCTTCCTTTTCCAGGCTAAAAAATATTCAAATGTAGGTATCTATCATTCATCCATCAATGGGCATCTGGTTTGTATCGACCTTTTAACTATTGTGAATAACACTGGTATATAATTATCTGTTTGAATCTCAGGTTTCAATCCTTTTGGATCTATACACACAAGTAAAATTGGTATATTAAATTATAATCTTATGTTTATTTTTTTCAGTAACTATTATACTGTTTTTCATAGCAACTGCACTGTTTTACATCCCCACTAGCAGTGCAAAGGGTTCTAATTTAGTCACATCCTTGTCACCAGTTGCTGCTTTGTTTTTTTGATAAGTTATCATAATGGGTGTAAAGTGATAACTCATTGTTGTCTTGATTTGCATTTCCCTAATGCTTAGTATTGGTTAGCATATTTTCATGTGCTTATTAGACATTTATATATCTTCTTTACAAAAATGTTTATTGAAGTTCTTTGCCCATTCTTCAATTGGGTTTTTTTGTTGTTGAGTTATAGGAGTTCTTTTTTTTTATAAAAAAGTATCAAATTTATTTCAATATCTACTTTCATTTTTAAATTAAAGGTCTTGGACAATTTCTGTAATTTATAATTCATTACCAGAGATGAGAAAATATCAATAAGCTATTAAATACTAACGGTGAGTAAAATTATTGGGCCATGCATTTATAAAAGCCATATTTCATAGGGAAAGGTTCCAGTTATACTTAACTAAAGGAAATATCCTTTATTTCTAATTACAACACATTCTCATTTTGACATAATTTCTCTTTTTCACCCAATTACTACTATGCCAAACAAAATTTTTCCAAATGTTAAGCCTTTCTTTACCACTTATGAAATATGACTCACTCTTTAAGAGTTCCTTAAAAGAAATTTGGAATTTTAATTTTCACTATGAACTTGTTTGGTCTAGGACATCACTACGATGAGTTAACACAAATATAAAAATAAAATAATAAAAGTGGTATCTATATAATCAGCAAATTATCAGATAAGATATTCTAACTACTATACATTTCTACTTAGTATAAGTAAGAATAAACTGGTTCCAAAGTCCTACAAGGTTTGGCATTTTTATTGCAAACTTTAAATCAGTGTTACTCTATTCAACAAGTCATCTCTAAGTAAATGGCAGTGTTCATAAGTACAAAAACTGTTATATCCAGTAGGTGGTATTCTATATAGTCAAGATACTAGGATAATTTTTATAAAATTAGATTTTAAAAAGGCAGAATATCTGATAATTACCAGTATCTCAAAGGCTAAAATGAGAAAAATGCAGAAAATTGAAGTACTCATTAATAATATTTTGCTTTGAGGAAGCCAGAAATGATTCTAAGAAATAAGCAATAATGATAAAAGATGTAATTAATGTATTGGATCTCTTTTAAGGCAAAGCACACTTTTCACCTCAGGATAACTCTCACTTTTACATTCTTAGTTTCCTTTGTCCAGAACAGGATTCCATTTTGAGCCAATATTTGAACAGAGTTCATAATCTGAAGTCATTTTTTCCCCCCAGTGTGTTTACATTTCAGGACATAAACTGCAAAATGGCAAGTGACTAAGTCAGTTATAAAGAATCTGTAGCATAATAAACGCCAATTTACATAACTGTCAACAGACTTCTATACTGAAGCCTAAGTTGCTATAGTAAGGGTCAGAACTAACATGAATCTTCCTTATGCTCAGACTGTTTACTGAGTAGTCATAAATCCAGAAAAGAAACCTTAGAGGGTCTTTCCAAAGCTGCATAATTTCCCAAATAAGTTTCATATGGTGCCAGAGCCTGTTCATTCCTTCAATCCTTTTTTAGTCGTTTAGCTTTTGCAATATTTTCTTGACGTTTTTGTTTTTTCTTTTGCTCCTTTTCCCTGGCCTCAATCATCTTGGCCAATTTCCAGGACAGTACAGCTCTTGCTAGAAACAATGGCGTAAGGGCCAAAATAACTGTTGTAAGGAAGCTATATGGGTCCTTTGCAGCCCATTCCACAACATACTCAGCCCAAGACTTTATATAAAACATCTCTGTAGAGGTCTTAGAAAAGGGAGGCTTAGGCTTGAGCTGTGGTCTCTAACTTTGTCCTGGGATTATTAGTGAGCCAATTACAGTTTCAGATGGATGACCCTTGGTTGATTGTCTTCTTCTTTAGCTCTACTATAGACTTTTGAGAGGTTTATATTCTATATGCCGACTGTGTCGGTCTCGGAGAGTGCAGACCCCTGCAGGACTCAAAGCCGCCGTCACAGGGAATACGGGGCAGGCCCCGCCACACCTCGCTTCTCCAGTGCCACCTCCGCTGGGCACGAGGGCAAACCTCCCTGGAGCAGCCCCCCATTCTCTCGTGCATCGTGCCCAGGACCCCAACCCGCCACTCACCACCCAAGTTCTTTATATATTCTGGATATTAATCACTTAAGTGTCTGACAAATATAGTCGCTCTCTTTAATGCACAAGAGGTTTTAATTTTGAAGTCCAATTTATGCTTTTTTCTTTTGCCACCTGGACCTTTGGTATAATATCCAAGAAATCATCACTAAATCCAACTTCATGAAATTTTCCACTATGTTTTTATAGTTTATATTTCCCCTAAGAGTTTTATAGTTTTAGCTCTTACCTATTTAGGTTTGATCCATTTTGAATTAATTTTTATGTATAGTGTAGGTTAATAGTCCAATTAACATACTTTTCCATTAAAGTATACAGTTTGCCTAGCAGTATCTATTGAACAGAATCTCTTTTCCACATTGAATAGTCTTGGTATTCTTGTCAGAAATCATTTGACCATTATTGAGGGTTTATGCCTGGGCTCTCTATTTTTTTCTAATCTAATCATGTTTTTAAATGAATTTTTCCATTTCTGAAAAAAGGAAGTCATTAGGACTTTGATAGGGATTACACTGCATTGGTTTGGGTATTACTATCATCAATAATATTAAGTCCAATCCATAAACATATGATGTCTTTCCATTTCTTTCTCTTTTCTTTTTCTTTCAGCAATGTTTTGTAGTTTTCAAAGTCTTTCACCTCCTTGCATAAGTTAATTTCTAAGTATTTTATTCTTTTTGATGTAATAAGGAGAATTATTTTCTTAATTTCCTTTCAGATTATTCATTGTTACTATATAGAAATGCAACTGATTTTTACATGCTGATTTTGTATCCTGCTGCTCTGTGGAATTATATATTAGTCCTAACAGGGTTTTCATGTGTGTGTGTGTGTGTGTGTGTGTGTGTGTTTGGAATCTTTTCTACCATATAAGACCATGTCATCTGCAAACATATACTTTTACTCTTCCTTTCCAATTTAGATGCCCTTCCTCTCTTTTCTCCCTCGCTCCCTCCCTCCCTTCCATCTGTCTGTACTTTCTCTGGCTAGAACCTCCAAGTACTATCTTCAACAGAAGTGGCAAAAGTGGACACACTTATCATATCCCTGATCTTAGAGGAAAAGCTTTCAGTCTTTCACCATGAAATATGTTACTTGTGAGTTTTTCATATATGGCCTGTATTATGTTCCTTCTATTCCTAGTTTGTTGAGTGTTTTTATCATAAAAGTGTTGAATTTTGTCAAATATTTATACATTAATAGAGATGTTTTTGTGGTTTTTGCCCTTCACCTTTTAATGTGGTATATTCACTGATGTTCACATGTTGAACCATCCTTGAATTCCAGTAATAAATTCCAATCGATCAATCGGATTCTTTTAATATGCTATATAATTCTATACAGCATATAGATTCTTTTAACAGTTTTTAGTATCTGATTCTTTTAATATGCTATTGGATTCAATTTGGTTGTATTGTGTTGAGGATTTCTGCACCAGCGTTCATAGGGATATTAGCCTGTAAGCTGTCTTTGTCTGTCTTTGGTATCAAGGTAATGACAGATTCACAGAATGAGCTAGGCAGTGTTCTCTCTCCTTTTTTTCTTTTTTCAGAAAAAGTTTGAGAATTGGTGTTAGTTCTTTAATTGACTATGGTAGTCAATTAAAGTATGGTAGAATTCACCAGTTAAACCAGGGCTTTTCTTTGTCAGGAGGTTCTTGACTTCTGATTACTCATCTATTCAGAATGTCTCTTTCTTTGTGATTCTTTCTTGATAGGTTTTTGTTTCTAAGAAATTTTATATTTTATCTAGGTCATTCAGTTCATTGGTGTACAATAGTTCATAATACTCTTATAATCCTTTCATTTTTGTAGAATCATTAATGTCCTCACTTTCATTTCTGATTTTAGTAATTTGAGTCTTGTTTTGTTGATTTTTCTCTATTATTTTTCTATTCTCTATTTAACTCTGCTCTAATCTTTATTATCTCCTTCCTTCTGCTAGCTTGGGTTTAGCTTGTACTTTTTCTAGTTTCTCAGGTTGTAAAGTTAAGTTGTTGCCTGGAGATCTTTTTTTTCTTTTTCAATGTGTTTATAGCACAAATTTCCCTTTTAGGACTTCTGTTGCTGCAATCCCTAAGTTTTGGTCTGTTGTATTTTGTTTTAATTTTTCTTTATTTTTAAATTTCCACTGTGATTTATTTTATGGTCTTTTATGAGTGTAATGTTTAATTTCCACATATTTCTAGATTTTTTCATTTTTCATCTTTTATTGGTTTCTAACTTCATCCCAGTGTGGGAGAAAAACTTTGTATATCTATCTTTTTAAATCACTGAGACTTAATTTGTGGCTTAACATAAGGTCTGTCCTGAAGAATGTCCTGTATATACTTTCTTTGTGTTGAGTAGAATGTTCTGTATAGTTCTATTAGATGTAGTTGATTTCCTGTATTCTTCAAGTCCTCTTTTTCCTTGCTTATCTTCTATCTGGTAGTTCTATCCATTTTTGAGGGTGGGATGGATATTGAATTCTCCAACTATTATCATAGAACTGTTTATATTTCCCTTCAATTTTGTTCATTTTTGCTTCATATATTTTCAAGGTCTGTTATTAGGTGTGTAAGTGTATATATAATAATTTTTATATCTTCACACTCTACTGAAACTTTCATTAATACCTAATGTCTTCCTTATCTCTTGTAATATTTGATTTAAAATCTATTTTTTCTGACATTGGTGTAACCACCTCTACTCTCTCGGTTATTATTTGGATAAAATATATTTTGCCATATTTTTACTTTCAACTTATGTTTTTAGATATAAATTATCTTATAGACAGTATATGCTTGGATTATGATTTGTTATTTTTGTTATCCATTGCACCAAATTCTGTCTTTTGATAAGATAGTTTAATCCGTTTACATATCATGTAGTTTCTTGTAAGGAGAGACTTCTGCCCTTTTGCCATTTGTCTACATGTCTGGTAGCTTTTTTGTCCTTCATTTCTTATATTACTGTCTTTTGTACTTAGTTGATTTTAGAACAACTTTTAAATTCTCTTATTTCCTTTTGTGTATATTCTATGTCTATCTTCTTTGTGGTTATCATGGGAATTGAATTTATCATATTAAAGTTATAACACTCTAAATTGAATTTATGTCAGCTTAACTTCAATAGCATATAAAATTCTCCTACACAGCTCAATCCTCACCTCTTGTCAGTTATTAAAGTCACAAAATTATACCTTAATAATAGTGCTGTTTATCCAAAATCAGAGTAATTATTTTTTGAAAATATTTTTATGGATTTTAGAGAGAGAGAGGAATGAAGGTGAAGAAAGGGCGAGAAAAACAACAATTTGTTGTCCCATCCGTCTACGCATTCAGAAACTAACTTTTTTTAAAAAATGCATTAGTCTCATATCATATAATAAACAAAAGGTACAGGAGACCAAAGTGACAATAACGCTAGCTTATATAAATGCCTATTTATTTACCTTTACTAGCAAACTTTAATTCTTTATATGGCTTCAAGAAACTGTTTAGTGTCATTTCATTTCAACCTGAAAGACTCCTATTAACATTTCTTACAAAGTAAGTCTACCTTTTGTTTTTCTAGGAATGTCTTAATTTCTCCCTTACTTTTGAAGCAGTTTTGATGGATATAGAACTCGTGGTTGACGTTTTCTCCCAGCACTTTGAATACATCAATCTGCTGCCTTCTGCCTTCCAAAGTTTCTGATTAGAAATTTGACATTAGAGGGCCCCTTTCATGTGGCAAGTTGCTTCTCTCTTGCAGCTTTAAAGATTCTCTGTTGCCTCCAGCTTTCAAGGGTTTGACTCCAATGTATCTAGGTGTGGGTCTTTGAGAATTTATCCTACTTAGAGTTGTTGAGCTTCTTGGTTCTTTTTTATGTTTCCTCTTTCATATTTCCATTTTGTTCTTACATTGTTTTCTTAATTTTGTTCATGTCTTACTCTAGCTCTGAGAATCTTTAAGATAGCTGTTTTAAAGTACTTGTCTAATACATATACCATCTAGCCTGTATCGGGCATGGTTTCTGATTTATTTATTTTTCCTTTGAATGGACTATACTGTCATTTTTCTTTGTATGCCTCATGATTTTTTTCTTTGAAACATGGATAGCTGAATCTTATTATATAGCAAATCAGGAACTCAAGATTCTCCAAAATTTGTCTGGTTTTAATATTGTTGTAGGGTGTTCTCCATGCCAGAATTCAGCCTCAGGTGTAAACTTACCATTTTCTCAGGCCTTTTTTATACATTTTCGATCCTGTAACATTCCACGGGCAAGCATGGTAACTTTCTGAATTCCCTTGTATATGCATTTGTTTTTGAAGGTCCTAGTCATGAAATATGTGGTCCCTAAAATGGGAAAATAAAGAGGGGGAAAAACCTAGGGTCTGGTTCTTTAAATTCCCTACTTCAGCCAGTGAGGGTTGTAGCAATGTTGGCCCACTTCTATGAACAAAAACAGCAATCAGCAATCAAAACACAGAGTCTCAAAACTTAGAGAACAAGCTCTTTACTGCCCACCCTCGCCACCACAAGCCATGTGCAAGCTGTTCCAGGAAGACAGGCATAGTTGTCTGCCATGGTCTGAGGGGGGTGATGAGTAGCAACGACTGCACAAAGAGCAGAAACTTATTATTCCAAGCCTTCCCCTGGCAGCTATGAGCATTCAACTAGACTCCAGAGTTCCAAAAAAGTTATATCAGAGAGATTCTGCCAATACAATTGTTGCCTAGGTGAGGAGAAAATTCCTGGTGCTTCCTACTTTGTTTTCCCTGACGTTACTCTCAGCCTACAGAAATTTTGAAGCTGACAAAGGAATGAGACTTTATTCTGTAATTTTTTTTTGGAGTTAATTACTTGGTGAATGACCAAATC